CGTTGCAGCAGAAGTCGTCATTTCCCTCGCGCCGTCTCTCTCGCACTCGTGGGGCTTCCCTTGCAGGTGCGACGGAGACAGCGCGAGACTCTCGGAGTCAGCCTGCATCCGAGCGCCTCATTTCAATGAATGAAAAAGGCGGCTGTCATGTCATGCCCTCACTATTACCGCCTCGCGCCCAAAACCCGGAGCCCCGGAACCTCGGAACGAAAGGGAAGGTAAGCAGACGTGCCTTTCATAACACAGATAATCATCGTCCCGGCCTCATCCTCTTAATCATCGTCAGACAGGCTGCCGTCGCTATGCATTCGCTGCAGTCGCAAGGCCCCAGGCAATCCACGCACAGCGACGCACAGTAAGGCACGCAATTAGACGCACGTGGCAACGCGCCGCGCTGGTGCACTGCAAAGGACTCTGCCAGAGGCCAATCCACCTGACATGGGAACGGATACACTGGTAAAACTAGGGTGTAAAACATGCACACCCAGAAAAATGGTTTCTTCATTTTTGATTTTCTTGTTTTTTTTTTTTTTTTTCATAAGAAAACATTTTTAACAGAAGAAAATTTTTCGGCGTACGAGAAAAAACTTTGGATAAAAAAAAATTTCTTGAAAAAAAAAACAAGAAAAATTATTTTTTACTAGATCTAAGAAGTCATTTTGTTGGGCGCAGTCCTGCCGTCCGCCCTTCTTGAAGGGTACACTGCAAGAAAAAGGGTTCATAGTAGAACAAAAGTACAACGAAAACTCCAAATTCATTCATAATTTTCTTTTTTCAGTAAATTAATACAAGATTAAGAATGATCCCCATGAATGGGCCCTTTTCCCGAGTATGGGTCATTTTCAAACTTCGTCTCGAAAAACCGGAGATGTGCCCCTCCCGGGGGTTTTGAGGATGACCACCGAAGGCTCATAGGATGATTGCCCACATGGCCTTGACTCCGGGGATATTTGAGATGACCACCGTCGAGGCTCGGAGGAAACATGACGAGTCATGGGCTTGTTCGTCTCTCTCTCTCTCTCTCTCTCTCTCTCTCTCTCTCTCTCTCTCTCTCTCTCTCTCTCTCTGACGCATAGAATATAGAACTGAGCTGCTCCAGTCTCTAGGCTCAACCTGTCCTCCTCGCACTTTTACCCCCTGAGGCGGCGGCAGGCCAAACAGCGCTTTCTGTCTCATCCACACTCCAGGGACGCCCCGTAACGGTGCGAGAGAGACAGAGCGACGAAACACGCCTCAGTCCGCCGCGCTCAACCCTTGGCGCACGTGTCCCAACACTGCGTCTCTCTTTATCCCCAGGAAGAAAGGGACATAAATCACCTGGGGTCTTTGTCGCACGCCCCGGCCGCCCCGTTTACACCTGAGTCTAGTTCGGCCCGCCCGCACCAAACACCACACAACACACACACACACACACACACACACACACACACACACACACACACACACCCCAAAGACAAAACACACACACAGACACAGGGCCCGGATCGTCGCGGACCCGACCTTTCCCCCGGAAATAGCCACCGTGTATTTCATTTCGTCGCGCTTCCGTCCCACTAGAGTCACGCGTCCAGCCCACTAACCAACCAACCCCTGCGGCCCGGCCGAGGGCCCAGCAGACTGATTCCGAGAGTCGTTTTCGTCGCTCCGCGTCCCCCTCGCACCGACATACGTGGCACGCCCCGCGAGTGCGAGAGAGACAGAGCGATGCGGCCCCGCGCGTGCCACTCCCACACGCCCTTGTTTCGGACGTCAGTTCACTTATCAATTAGGTGCGTGAATGTGGCGAGGGCGGCCCGGGCAGACCGAGCCCCAGACCGAGGCCCAGGCACGACAAGGAGCAGACGTCTCTTTCTATTTCAATCCTTTTCAGTCTCCCCTCGTTTTCCCGTTGCGTGACCGAGGCAGACTCCTCAGAGCGCTTCAAAAACCTGCGCGCGTGCACTCACACGTGTGTGTGTGTGGGGTCTGTTGTGTGTTTTTGTGTGTGTGTTTCTGTCTGTCTTTGTGTGTGTGGGGGTGTGTGGGGCATCGTTGCGCCAGTATCGTGTAACCCCCAGGGCCCCATATAACTCTTCGTGTGCGTGTGCCTGCGTGGCGAGTGTGTGTGTGTGTGGTGCCTCACTGAAAAGCTGTGGTGGGCTTTTTCAAAAGGTATAGGAAATGGCATTCTTAAATTATGAATTCTTAAACGTTACATAGGTTTTTTTTTTCGGTTTTTTATACCTTTTGCCAAAGGAATTCTTTTTAAACCCGTGCGCCTCCACATGAATAGGTTTTTCGTGTTCTTTCCCTTTTGGGTTATGCCGGAGGGGATTGGGGGGTGCTGCGGGGCACCGTGCCGGTGGGTGGGGGGCCAGGGCAGGGGCGGGGGGGATGCCCGCCTCCTCCCCTCCCGCCCGGTCCAAGACATGTGGTCGTCCCCCCCATCTCCTCTCAGGCGGTGCCGTGGCTCATGGTTACGCTTGCGCACACTCAAACCGCAGAGACTGGGTTCTAGTCCCGGCCTCCCCCTCCTTTTCAATGTGGCCGTGTACCCTCATACCTTTCGGGATGAGGGCATTCATATCCGTATAGAGAGTTTAGGAGGGAGGGAAATGGTGGGGGAAGTCGATTGGCATACCTAAAAGGGAAAAGAAAGGGTATATTTACCTCCGCAAGGTATGACTTTTATACCTCTGAAAGGGAAAAAAAATTATACCTTGGGGGGGTTTAGCTTCCTAGGTGAAAACCCAACCTCAGGCTAACAGTGCTGAGTTCGTGCGTTGATCATTTTCATACAAAGCGTCAGTGTGTGTTCATTGTGTACGGTGCCGTTGATTATAATAGATGTGTATTAACGAGTGAGGCCTAAGCATCATGGGCGCTATGGACTATCTCGCTCTCCCTCCCTCCCTTTATCTTTCTTTTTCCCTCCAGCTCTCATCTTCGCCATCTCTTCCAAAATTTCCCCTCCTCTCTCCCTCCCCTCCCCTCCCCTCCCTCTCTCTCCCCTGTCTCTCCCTGTCTCTCCCCTCTCACTCACCACTCTCTCTCTCTCCCCCCTCTCTCTCTCTCTCTCTCTCTCCTCTCTCTCTCTCTCTCTCTCTCTCTCTTTTTCTCTCTCTCACACATACACACATTGCCGCCCACTCATGTACCTTTGGAAACCGATTACATACCCTCACAAGAACACGGACGCAGTGACACACACGCGCACACACACACACACACACACACACACACACACACGAGTGCGCACGAACGCACCAGAACGCCACGTACCACATCATAGGGGCGGAGCACGACAACAGGTTCGGAATGCCATGCAGTGCCAATAAATGTCAAACCGTCGGGGGCCCAGAGAGGCCGAGTCCTCCCTTTCTTTTTTTTTGTTCCCGTTGTCGAATATTTATCTTCTGGAACGCGGAATTAAGAGCGGCGAATCTGGCGTGCCTGGACCGCCTGGACCGCCGGACGCCGAGGACGGTCTCTGTCTCTCTCGCACTCGAGGGGCGTTCCGTCGGGGGGAGAGAGAGAGAGAGAGAGAGAGAGAGGGAGAGAGAGAGAGAAAACGAATCGGCGGCCGGACCGCGCTGGACATGCGGGTGGGGCGCCAAACAGCGACTCTGGAATCCAGCGGTCGCTCCCTGGAGCCTGCCTGGAGCCTGCACACTCCTGCAACTATCTCCCTCCCTCCCGCAATAAGACGGATCAGAACCCGCACATTTCCCGACGCCAGCCCTGCAGGCTGATTCCGAATGACAGGTCTCTCTCTCTCTCTCTGTCTCTCTCTCTCTCTCTCTCTGTCTCTCTCGCACTCACGGGGAGTCCCGTTACGGTGCGAGAGAGACAGAGCGACGAAAACGACTCTCGGAATCGGCCTGCTGCAGTCCCTGCGCCGTGCATCGCTGCCCCAATCCCTTCCCGCGATCCACCGAAGACGTTTTCGGCGCTCTGTCTCTCTCGCACCTGTACGGGACGCCCCATGAGTGCGAGAGACACAGCGCGACGAAAACGGCTCCCGGAATCCCTTTGCCGCACTGCAGCGTCGTGTCGCGTGTCCTTTTGTCCCAGATAACGCGCCGGGATGGAACGGGGACTAAAATTCCCAATCGCCGGGCTCGGCTACGCTCGCAGTTCGGCGCCCCGAGCAAAAAACAACCCGATTCACGCGGCGTTGTCTATCTCTCTCGCACCCCTTGCGGCCGCCCCGTATGAGTGCGAGGGAGAGGGCGACGATAGGCGGTGCTCGGAATCAGGCAAGATCAGCTGGGGGAGTGTGAGCCTAGCAGGTCCTCTTTCTTAATTCGATTTTTCGGAGAAATTCCAAGGTGCCGCGGACTGATTACGAGAGTCGTTTTCGTCGCTCTGTCTCCCTCGCACCAATACAGTGTGCCCGCTGAATCGGTGTGCAGGTCCACCAGGTAGGGCTGCTGCCACTCGCACCGCTTGCCAGAGAGAAACGTTCGATTGGGGAGGGAAAAGCCGAGCGGCAAAACAGAAACAGCAGACTGATTCCGAGAGTCGTCGTTCCGTCTCTCTCGCACCTTGGGGGTGCGCCCCGTGAGTGCGAGAGAGACGGAGCGACGAAAACGACTCTCAGTCTGCAGTAACGAGCGGGCGGCGAAACCGCAGAGCCGCGCGCCGACTGCGAGCGGTGCGTCAAACGCGGCAAGCGCGGCGCGCGAGCGGTCAAATGGGCAAACGGTCAAATGCCACCCGCGCCGCGCGCCAAGCGCCGCCAAACCGCAGCGCACTGCATCCGAGAGTCGCTCTCGTTGCTGTCTCTCTCGCACCCGCACGGGACGCCCCACGAGTGCGAGAGAGACAGCAGGGGAAACGACTGCCGGAAACGGACTGCAGGGGGCAGTACAGGTGTATCACAGCAGACTGATTCCGAGAGCCATTTACGTCGCTGTCTCTCTCGCATCCACACGCGACGCCGAGTGCCGCGAGAGAGACAGAGCGACGAAAACGACTCTCGGAATGCAGTGTATCACCGAGGCGCCCGTCGTACTCACGTCAGCAGGTGAAGGCAGAGTCCGGCGAGGAAGGGATGCTCGGAAGTCCAAGTCCGGTCACGAACCACAGACACGGGGCCCGGCCGCTGCGAGTTGGAACCCCTAAACTCGAAACTCGAAGCTTGCACTCGCTACGCTGCTACGCCGCTCGTCCCGGGACTCGGGTCCGCACCACTTCGACACGCCGGCAGGGGGCTCGAACTGCGTACACGTCGCGAACCGCAAAACACGACGGGGCCAAGCACGCACGGCCAAAGCACAACCGCTCGGGACGCCAGCGACGGACCGACTGGCTGGGAACGGAGCGCGGCGCGGCGGCGGCGGCGTCGGCACGGCACTGGAGCCAGCAACCCCCACCCCCTCCACCTACGGACCGGCGCGGCCGCCTGCGTCCCTGCCTGGCGCGGCACCGCGCGCCCACCGGACAGTCAAATGGGCCCTGCAGTCCCTGCAGTGGCATGCAGCCGCAGGACAGTCGAACAGGGACAGGGAAGCCCCTCGGGACAGCCGTTCGGCGTTGCTCGGGGCCCGGCGGCCACGCACAGTGGGCCAGAAGACCGGTGGAGGTGGCCAAAACTCCGGACGTGTTTTCAGCTCCAGAGACGCTAAAGAGGACTCGAACCGAACGTGTGACCCCACCAATGGATTGCTCTACGAACGAGGAGTCCATTGGCGGGGTCACACGTTCGGTGCGAGTCCCATTTAGTTTCGGCCGCCTCCGCCGGTCTTCTGGCCCCCTGTGTGATTCCGAGAGTCGTTTCCGCTCTCTCTCCCTCGCACTCATGGCGCCTCCCAGGTAGGTGCGAGAGAGACAGAGCGACGACTCTCGGAATCAGTCTGCGGGGCCCACACGCCCTTCGGCCCTCGGCCCTCCGGGGCGCCCTTTGGCGTGTACAGTGTGCCCACCTAAGATAGGACGTGACCGGCACAGTGGCCCTAAATAGGGCTCGCTTATCGGCCGGACAGGCGAGGGAAAAATATCCCTGCAGCCTGCAGGGCTCTGCGGGGCCCGGATGGTAATCCAGCGCCCCTGGAAAACCGGGACCCACACTGGCAGAACGGACAGGCGCGCGGGGAGGAAAAAAAAAAGAAGCCGGCCGGGATTCGAAAACCCCGCCGGCCGCCTTGTGGCGCGGTGGAAGGAGGAGGACGATCTTTTTCCGTCGGCGTCACAGACACACCCACACTCACACGATCACACATGGTAGCGAAACAGTAGCATTCGGGCAAGCATGCGACCGCCACACGCGCCTCTCCCTCATCAAGTATTCCAGGGCGGTAGAGCAGCGGCCAGGCGCGCGCGGGCGCGCACACACCCACACGCGCGCGCACACACACACACACACACAACACCACACACACACATGCGGGAAAGAGATCACGGTACAAATTACAATCAGGCGTCGCGGGGGGGGAGCAGTGTATGCATGTTTGCAGAAGTGCGACGCGTCCCGGAAAGCGCAGCCCGGCGGGGTCGAGGGGTGAATCACAAGTGTACTCATGTGTACAAAAATTTTCCCGTACTCATTGTACTCACAAGTTTTAAAAAGGTGAAATTCTCTAGTTTTTCGACCGATTTAACGTCGAATGTCGTTAAAAACGCTATATAAAACCTTAAAACGTTTAAAATTTTGAAATTTTGAGTAAAACAAGGGGTACTCACCCTTTCTCATGTACTCATGTGTACCCAGAACCCTGAGTGATTCACCCCCCGGGCGGGGGGGACCCTTCGCGCCAACCCCGTGCGGCAGCAGACCGATTTCCGGGGTGTCTTCGTCGCTCTGTCTCTCTCGCACTCTGCCCTGGTAGGTGCGAGGAGACAAGGACGAAAGCGACTCTCGGAATCGGTCCGCAGCGGGGCCCGGCGGCGCAGAGACGAGGAGAGACGCGCTGCCTAGCGACGCGTCGCGACGGCCAAACACCGCAGCGCCGGTCGTCGTCTGCAACTTGTCGGTGAGTCCAAAGCCCCTGCGCACAGTGCGCCAGAAGATCGGTGGAGGCGGCCAAAAATCTAGACGCGTTTTGAGCTCCAGAGTCGCAAAAAAACGGTGATTTTCTGAAATTCATTCACTTTTTGACCATTTTTGCGAGACCACTGCTCCAAAACTATCAGCGGTCAAAGCTTCCCGAGGCGGAGCATGAAAGGTAGGGTCTTCAGAATGGTAAGGCGTCGAGGCAGGCCTTTGACCGCAACTAAATTGATGCAGTGACCGCTCAAAGTCAGCAAAAACGGTGATTTCTGAATCATTCACTTTTTGACCATTTTTGCGGGCCACTGCTCCAAAACTATCAGCGGTCAAAGCCTTCCCGAGGCGGAGCATGAAAGAGTAGGGTCTTCAGAATGGTAAGGCGTCGAGGGAGGCCTTTGACCGCAACTAAATTGGATGCAGTGACCGCTCAAAGTCGCAAAAACGGTGATTTTCTGAAATTCATTCACTTTTGACCATTTTTGCGAGACCACCGTTATGCTCGGGGTTTATGCTGTGTGGGGTTTTTTGTTTTTGGGGTCGATTCTCTTTCTCTCTTGGGGTTTTTAAGGGAAAGGCACCTGTGTGGTCTCAGGATGTGAAGGGTTTAAACAGAGGCTGTTTGGGTTTTTAATATATTTATTTTGGGCTAGTTGGTCATAATTTTTATACTCGCACCAGAAAAGGGTTCTCTGGCTTGCTCACCCAAATACAGATTACAAATAACGGTTTTCTAAGTATAGCCCGGGGCCGAACTATTCTAAGTCCGTTAACACTGGACGATGGCGAAAAAACCCAAATCCCCTATGGTAATTACCCTTGGTGTGCTGGCTGCGAGCAGGGGGGCCCAAAGGGAAGGGTGT